AGGTCTTAAAGCCAGGTCTTCTTTTTCCATGGCCAATGACCTTTCCATTATACCACACTGCCTCAAATGGCACTCCATGTCAAAATAATACAAAGTTCCTTGAGTTTGTTTTGTTAATTCACCTTCTAATTATTAATACCAAGCAGGGTTGTGCTAATAAATATCTAACAACTGGCTCTCTGAAAAGAATGTATGCATAACACATTTAAGCTTAATATAAATAATTAATATTTTCTCTGCCACTTTTTAAGTCTGTACAATCAATCAAACAATAAACCAAGCCCTGACTTGTAGCATTTGCCAGTTTCTGGGGTTTATGTGGTCACACTAAGTATTTAACCAGCAGCTCTCTTCCAGCACACCACTAAGGCTAGAATGGGGAAGCATATATTTGTCAAGGGTGCTTCCCTAACCTTGTGATTTATTCAGCTGGTGATGGAACCTAAGCTGGGGACTTTAACATCCGTCTTTGCTCCCACTGTTATTCACTTATCACAAGTACTTCAGTTACTTGGATGAATGGGCCAAACAGGGCCCATTATTGAATGGAAAGAAGACAGAAACAGCTGATGAGTAGAGCTCACCCAGGACTTAAGCACTGTAGTATCCATGCGGAGATAGTGTAAGGTTATTTATTTATTATTGTTCAATTGTTTGAGTCATGTCTGACTCTTATGACCCCATTTGGGGGTTTCTTGGCAAAGATGGAGTATGAAAAAAAACATTTATTGTGCACCTACTATGTGCCAGGCACTGTGCTAAGCACTGGGGATAAAAAAAGACAGTTCCTTCCCTGAAAGAGTTTACAAGGTAATGGAAGAAGACAATACACAAAATGAAGCTGAAAAGCAGGGGACAATGCCAGAGGGTACCTGGCTCAGGGCATGACAAAGATGATGGTAGAGCTGAAATCAAGCAGATCAAATGAAGAGAAGGCTGGGACTTTGAGCCTCCTATAAAGGGAGGGCAAGGGAGGAGCTTTTTTCTGACCTCCAGTCTCCCAATTGGAGAGGCAGAGGCAACTGAGGGTACTGAGGTCCAAGTAGCAAAGCTGAAGCAATCTCCATGTTGATGAGTTTCTTGCTGATGTGTTATCTGGTGATAAGTTTATCCTAGGTGGGGCATGATAAAGATGATAGCGAAGTGAAGCCAAACAGATGGCTGAGGGGACAGTGGAGAAACCAAAGAAATCCAAAATGAGTGCAACTGGGTGGGAAATGAGGATATGTCTGAGGTCATGGCAAGGACATGCTTTCTCTGTAACTTTTGAAATGGCATGGAAAATGTTAACCATTGGGTCAGAGAAAAACAAGGTCTTCTGGACATTGAAAAAATTCCCTTCTTCCCTTGAGAAGGTCCACTGACTACTGACTTCCAAAATCTCACAGCTAATCACAATAAAACCTTTCATCATCATGTTCTTTCTCTTGCAACCAACCAAATTAATAGTTTTGGAAGCACCTAGCGCAGTGGTAGGTACTGTACATAAAAGTATCATTTCCTTTGACCTGGAAATATTTCTCTTAGGCATACACCCCAATAAGTAGCTTCACTCACCCAGAAAAAAATTATTACCTTTCATATCAAATAAAAATCCTGAATCACAGCATTAAAATTCATAGAGGTATAGGATGCAAAAGCCTTAGAAATAATTTGGTTTGTTTAGTGATGTCAAAGAGTGAAAATAATAAACCTTCTAATAAAGGCAAAAGAAAACTTACCCTCATTAACAAAGTCAAACAGGGTTCCCCAGTCAGCCAAAATCCTCTCCTGAGCTATTGCATGGGCTTCCTGAGAGATTTACGTAGAGAAAAAGTAACGAATTTACATAAATCTTTCCACAACAACCCCATGCTTTCTAAATTACACAATCAAACGCAGGGGTATGTGGGTAAATGTTTTACAACTAGTTCTACAGAAGAAAATAAAAGTGCCTGGGATACACTTTTAGGTTTAACCTACATCATTACCACTGCTTCCATCATTTCTTTCTTTTTTCTTTTTTCCTTTCTTTCTGCCTCGACAATCAACAAAACAATAAACCAACCAAGCCCTGATTTATAGTATTTGTCCATTTCTGAGATGCAAATTCAGCTCACACTGAAATGGGAGCTGCAAACTCCTGCACCCGTGACTGGGGGGGGGGGCGGTATTTTCTGAGATCTCTTCATTAGATCTGCACCTGACATTGGAGAAGAGTACTCTCTTCACCTGGGCCAATCAGGCCCTCTGGAGTTTTTAGGAGTAAGTTTTCAGAGCCATCTGAAAACCACCTAATCATAAAATCGAAAATGCAGGCGGTCTCTCTTGTCTGGGATGAGGCAACAAAAGAATATTTATAGAAGTAAGGGATATGGAGAAGAGAACAGTCATGACTAAATATAACAAATCATTTTGTCCATTTCTGAAGATAATCCCTGATCCCATCATGGACACGATCTCTCTCTTCTCTGATGGCAGCCTTTTATGGTACTTAGCTATGTTACATAAAGCAGAAAAATATTTTTATGAGTTTTTCTCATTCCTCCCCCTACCTCCTCCCCACATACACACCAGAATACAAACCCACTGAGGGCAAGATAAATCTTAATCATCTCTGTAGCACCTAGAATCATATTATCTCTTGCATATTACTGAGAAGAAAAAGATCTTGGCAGCTATTTTTTTCAAGGAAATGACTTACTAGATCTAAATATAAAAAGCTATATGATAAAAAAAATAGCTTAGAAAATAGGTGATGTTTTTTTCACAACTCTGGCTAGAGGAGAATTCATACCTAAGCAAGATATAATTTTTATCCTAAAAGATAAAATGCACAATTTGAATTACTTGAAATTCAAAAGATTCCCCAGCCACAAATGAAATAAATGTAGTTGAAATTAAAATCGAAATAATTGGGGGAAATCTTCATACCAAATTTCCCTGGTCAAGGTTTCATATCCAAGAATCACAGACAATTGATGCAAATATATGAGAAGAGCCAATGGATAACTGATAGAAGGCTATGAATAGGCAGTTCTCAAATGATGAAAAACTATCAACAACCATATGAAAATGTTCCAAATAATAGATAATAAGAGAAATGCAAATTCAAACAATACCTCACCACAAGCTCATGACATTGAAAAGGAATACAAAAATAGAAAAATAATAAATGTTGGATGTTTTGTGGAAAAACCAAACCCATTAATCCACGGTTGATGGATCTGTGAAATGGCTCAAGAATTCAGGAAAATAATTTGCAACTATGCTGCAAAAGCCACTAAGCTGTCTTTAAGTTTTTGGGGTTTTTTTACTATTATTAGGTAAACATCCAAAAGAGGCCAAGGAGAGAGGGAAAGGACCCATACATACATGAATATTTATAACAGCATGGTTTGTTGTATTAAAGAACTCTAAACAAAATAGATGTCCATCAACATGGGAATAGCTGAGGAAATTGTGGTATAGTAATAAAATGAAAAATAATTGCACCATAAGAAAGGATGACTATTATGGAGTCAGAGAAACATGTTAAAACTTGAATGGACAGATGCAAAATAAGATGAGCAGAAGCAGGAGAACAATTTATATAATAACAACAGTAACAACATGAAGAAAAATTACTTTGAAAGCCCTCAGAACTCTAGGTGAAGCAGCGAACAATAATGATTTCAAAAGACTAATGATGAAACATGCTTCCCATCTCTTGGCAGAGAACTAATTGACTAGAGATGTGGAATGAGATGTGCATTCCCATATATGGCCGATATATTGCTTTGTTGTTTTGCTGGACTGTGTTTATATAAAGGAGATTCTTTACTCAAGTGTGTGGAGAGGCAGAGGGTAGAGGAGTAGGATAATAGGTAGTGATATATACTCAAAAAAAGTAACATCGGTAAAGCATTTTTAAAAATTCTCAGAATACAAGGAGTACAGAAAGGTATACAGAGTAATTTTGTTATTACCTTGGTTAAATTTTATATGTAAATACATACGTTGAAAGAACAAACTGTGGCTTATAGAACTTAGTAATTTCTTACATGATTCTCTTTTATGTCTTCCTTTTTATATTGAAGTGTTTATTAGTTGATGGTTGTTAAGTTCAGAATAAAATGTCTCATGTACATACAAATATACTTAATAATGCTTTTTTTATTTTATGCAAGAACTGACAACAAAGTAGATTTTCTTTTCTTGGGAAATGACTAAATAAATTGTGGTGCGTGAATACCATAGATTATTACAATGTCATAAGAAATGACAAACAAGAACACAGGGAATCATGTGAAAACATGAATTGATGCCAAGTAAAGTACACAGAATCAAGAAAACAGTATGTATAATGACTACAAGAATGGAAATAAAAAGAACAACAAAAAAAGAAACAAAAGGAAATGTTGCTAGATTGTAATGACCCAGGTTGATTCTGAAGGGATAAAATGTGCCCCTCCCTCTCTTAAGCAGAGAAATAGAAAATTCTCATCAATTTATATTGTATCTAGTTCTTTGCTATTACAAAAAAAAATGGCACTCTATTTTGGTGTACGGGTATGGAACATAGCATATATAGTTAGAGTCATTTATACGTTGGTTAGTTTTTTTAAACTACTTTCTCACTTTCTCTTTCTTTCTTCCCCCCTTTCTTTTTTATTAGAAGATATGGCTCTCTGAATAGGGGTAAGAGGAAGGATATATGTAGAGTTTAAGGTGCTATAAATACAAACAATACCTTTTTATTTAAAAAAAAAAGATAATGCTGGAGCCATCTTTTACTTTACTGGTTATGAAAGACCTAATCATGGAATATCAATCATTAAAGAACTGATATTAAAAATCCCATAAGGAGCAATTAAGAAGTGTTTGGTGGCTATGAGCAGGTTGTAGCATATTAAGAATGAGGAAGTATCTAGGAAAAGTGGTGAAAAGGCTATTATCTGGACATAAGAAAAGAAAAAGATATATGGGTTATATAGGATATAACCAATGAACAGAATGTGTATCCTACTGGAAGTCAAATAATGTCAAGAGAACTTAAGAAGGGTGACAGCACCTTGTAGGGAAATAGTGTGGCAGATTTATGGAAGGACACGTATATGAATCAACCAGGAATGGCAGGAATGAATGGGTGGTCATCCACATTGTTAACGAGACTACCAAAACTGATGGGATTACATATCAACTGGAGTTTTGGCTGTTATGACTAGCACTGCTAGCCATTCAGCTGTTATTGTAGGGGCACATCACCATCTTATTACATATCCATTGCCCTCATTATGCTGGGCTCATATAGCATGAGTAATCACGTGAAACATATTTAGTGTCTGCCAGTAAGAGCTTGATCATAAATGTCTTCTGCTACAGTCCGTGGGACTTGATCAGTTAAGCTGCTTCATGATGGAAGATTTAGTTTTATTTTTGAACTTCATCTTTTGATTGCAGTCTGGAACAGATTTCATTTGCTGAATACATAGCAGACCGCTGACATACAGGGACATTTAGGCTTTTAGAGATTATGCATTTATAAAAACGAATGAGCTGAAACGTAGTACTTTCTTTTTTCTTGTGTTACCCAGACCTAGTAAAAGATGATAGGAAAACTCTCAAGAGGAGCAGAAGAGAATACACATTGCTATCATGTTAAACCAGATTTTATTGCATTCCTATAAAATTGAGTGTGGTTATAATTTGTAGTTTCTTAGAAAGACTTTTTTACACTAAAGATGTTGCAGTAGATATACATATATGTGTGTATGTTTTATATATGTATGTATATATTTATGTATGTATATATATATATATATATCTGAAAACTATATAGACAGTTCAATAACTATAGACATTCTTTATTATAGGGGCAGAGTATCAGGGCAATTTCTTAGAATGAATTCAGTAGTTCCTACCTTCAAAATACTATGAGTTTGAACAGTTTGGGAAACTAAAAAACATCCACATAAGACTAAGTCTTAACCTTCATGTTCATCAGAATACAATACCATAGTGCAAAATCTGAATAAGTTAATAAAAGGAAATGATGGCTTATTTTTACCTAAGACACAAAAAATTCATTTACACATTACTATATAGTGCATAGAAAATGATGAAACAAGGCCAAAGAAATTAATTTTAAAGGAACTTTGAGGATCCCAGCAAAGACTTTATATTTTAATGTTATGCTCATATATAGCCAGCATTAAAAGGGAAAGCCAACCGAGTATCAGTCCAAAGTTCTGCAGGAGGAACACCAACCAGGGTCGCTGAGTTTGAACGTGAGTCATTTCAGGAAGCTAAAAAAAGAATAAAAAAGAATGAGATCCAGATATATTCATGGCTGGGAAAGAAAGTTTGATGGGAAAGAATGAGAAACCGCGTTGTTCAAGACTTACTGGTAGCCTTTCAGATTCTTGACTCAGTTACCATACTTAATTAAATTAAAATGATAGAAGCAATTGTATTACAAGTAGCCAGAAGAAACATCTATAAGCTCCATGGCAAAAGAAATATCATTAACAGTATATAGTTACCAGGTTAAAACAACTCCAAATAGTCTCACTTTTCATTGATTTAAGAACCTAAATGGAAAAAGTACCTGTAGTTGGAAGAAAACTAGTTTACTTGTGGGTTTTTTGGCTTGGAATTTGTAAATTGAAATACACACACACACACACACACACACACACACACATATACATACATACATACATAAGTACACACACATATATATGCATATGCTTATGTATGTGTATATCTACATATATGTATATGTTTGAACATATACATATATAATTATATTTCAATGTGATTGGTATCCTCTGTAATTCTATGTATTTTATAGCACTGAAAAAATATTATTTTGTCATCTTCACTTGACTAGCAAAGGGATCCATTAGACAAACAAGGTTAAGAATGCCCTATTTTAACGGTTCTGTTCATGTAGTCCGTTAAGCAGATAAATGACTGCAAGACATGCTGCTTTTTCTTTCTTTTTTTGGTATTTAAAGAAATGCCCAAGAATCTGACCCTTCATAAACTTTTATTCAGGACTCAGAAGCATGACTGGATGAAGCTCTGTATTGTATTCAGAAGCCAATGCTGTTACTTAGCACATTTGTGAAAAACTATTACCCATACTTTGAGTGAAAAGTTTTCCAAGCAAATCCCAACAGGTGGCAGTCTTACATTAATTTCCATAGAGGTCTCACCCCTCCCACTTGATTTGTACATCCGACTTTGTATGTCACTTTGATAAGTTTTCATTTCTATCAAGTTTTGGTTCAACAGAGATTGTGACCTTCATTCCCCCAAATTCAAACAGTTTAGCAACAAAAATGGTTAAATATGAGCTTGAGATAAGCAAGTTTACTGGATTTTTGGCATTAGAAAATATGAGACCTGTTTTGGGTGGCGATCTGCTACTTATTTATGAAGGAGATGATTTCATATTATGGAAATCTGTGATTCAAAACACCATCATGGAAGAATTTAGTATGCCCAAAGGCACCATACGATATAGTTGGAAAAATGGCAGATGTATAGTAAGAAAATTTGGTTTCACAACCCAGCTTTCGTATCCATGTGACCTTAAGCAGATCACTTCCTGTCTCTGGTCCTCAGTTTCCTCATATATAAAATGAAGGAATTAGAGTAGGTCACTTCTAAAATCCCTTTTAGTTCTAAATTGATGACCCTGTGAACCAGACATTAATCTGCTGCTTGTATGACCTTAAACCTTCCACATATTCTCCATGTTTTTATTTGTTCAACTTTTTAAATGGAGGTTAGCCATGTTATTGCAGAGAAAACCTATGTAGTCCCCTAGTTATCTTTAATTCCTATCTTTATCTTTAATTTAATTAATACCTTTAATTCATAATAATTAAAAGGCCATCTTAGAGTTTGAGACCTGGAGAAGGCCTGAGAGGTCATTTTTGTCCAACCTCCTAAGGTAAGGACGCTGAAACCCAGAAAGGTTAAGGGATATAAAAAAAAAATTGACAAGAGTATGTACATCCTCACACAACAAGCTTATTTATTGTAAGAAAGCCTTTTGTATTCTAGTAGAATATAAGCTTCCCGAAGACAAGTACGGTTTTATGTGTTTGTCTTTGCATCTCCAGAGCCTGGCATAGTGCTCTGATTATAGACATGTTAAAAAAATGTTTGTTGATAATAGAATGAATTTTATTCCAATAAATGTTGACATGAAACTGCTAGTCCACTTGAAATAAGGTCATGGCAAACCTTCCCCATGTTACTCATTCTAATACTCCTTTGGGTGGGAAGGGAAAGGGAATAAACATGTAAATAGCACCCACGATGTGCTGGCACTGTGCTAAGTACCTTACCAATATCTCATTTGATTCTCACACAAACCCTATCTGGTAGGTGCTATTATTACCCCCATTTTGCAGTGGAAGAAACTGAGGCAAACAGATGTTAAATGCCTTGCCCAGGATCACACAGCTAGTAAGTGTCTTAGCCAGGACCTGAACTCAAATTTTCCTGGCTCCAAGTCCCATATACTATTAACTGCATCACCTAGTTGCCTCTCAAACCATATAATATCTGTCTCTTAAGGTTGTGAAGATCAAAGAGAGTATATTTATAAGGACCATTAGTGCATCAAACAACAACAAAAACCCATTTATTCCTTGTAGATGGGTACCAAAAATAGGGGGGGTTTTTTGGACAAAATCATTGCCCATATCTCCTTGTACAGAAAGAGCTTCCAATCCTGAAGGTTTTCTTCTAAGTACATCTTCCTTTCCAAGAAGCTGCTGATGGTTATATTTTCAAAGACGTGCTCAACTTACTCTTCCTATAGGAAGCTTTCCCATATTGGACTTTGGTCTGACACTCATTCTTTTCTATCACTTCCATTCCAATTCTAAGCAACCAGGGAAAACTAGAAGCTGAGAACAGAAACAAAAGATACTAAAATTCACCATAAAAAGTATTCCCATATATTGCTGCCTTTATGGATCTGACGCAAATCAGCAAATGAGATGGACATTTCATTTGCCAAAGATAGGAACGATGAATAGGAACAGAGGTTAACAGAACTGTGCCATTAAATTCTTTTCTATATTTTATAACCATAATGGGCACTCAAAGTACTACCAGACATCACAACAGTGAGCAAAAACTTCAGAAAGTTAGAAGAAATATTCATCTTCCTAGGCAAAGTTGAGCATAATTTGCACAGCCCATTCAAACGTATAAACCTAACCCAAATACAAATTGTTGTGCTTTTTAACCCCCCAAATAGGACTGTATATAAATTGGCTTTGCAACAAGTTTCAACTAGACTGGTTTTTGAAAGGCCACTGGGCTCTTTTTAGCATGGTTATGGACATACACACACAAACCATAACAGCTTTTGGACGAGTACCAGAATACCAGAGAGCCCCACAGGAATTGTGTCCCAAAGAGATACAAATATCCCACTATCCTGCCAAAGCTCCAGTTATGTATGATTATACTGAGGGGATCTATTCCCCCTCATAGAATCAGTTAATTTTGGAGACAAATGAAGATCCAGAATGTTTCCAGTTTTCAGGAAAAGATATTTTGGAAGATTTTAGGTTTTTACATGGTTTTTTTTTAAACCGGGAAATAATGAGTTGCCATTTTGTTTTGTTGTTTTTGTGATAAGAAATGTCTCTTTTCTCCCATGTGGCAATTGGACATGCTTATTCCTCAATATTTGAGAGACTGACGTAGGTCCTAGAGAAAAATGGAGTAAGCCAATGGACAATTGATGTTGATCTTGGAAAGCTACCGAAAATGCTATTGCTTAGAAGCATTGCCCAGGGATTCGCGGGCAGGGAACCTGTGGCCTTAAAGCCACATGTGGCCTTTTAGCTACTCAAATAAAACCCTTTGACTGAATCCAAACTTCACAGAACAAATCCCCATAATAAAAGGATTTGTAAAACCTGGACTCAGTCAAAAAACTGCACTCAAGGACCTAGAAGGTCACATATGGCCTCAAGTATACTGCCTGACTGTTTCTGCCTAAAACTTGGAAACATTCAGATTGGAGGTAATCCTTGAAGAAGTAATATCAACATCCTTTGGTGGGTCATTTGCACTTCTCTTGCTATCCCACCTCACTACGTAGGCAGGTGTTCACCTCTTTTTTGTGTTCATGGTCCTCTTTGGCACTCTGGTCAAGTCTATGGACCCCTTCTCAAATGCTTTTAAATGCATGAAATAAAATACATAGGATTACAAAGAAGACTAATTATATTGAAATAGAGTTATTGAAATGCTTTTTTAAAAAATCAGGTTCATAGACAGCAGGTTAAGAATCCCTATCCCAAGGTTTCTCAGCCTCCCCTCAAGATCAGAAAATGCTAGGACATGATGTTCTAGGAGTTTTAACTGTCAAGAAAAATATAAGCTTTGCCAAAATCTATCCAACAGACCTGCCAGTTCTTAAGTCCTTTACCCAAATTCAGAGTCTTAGTGCATTGATTAGAAATTCCATGAGGCATACCAGAGCCCACACACAAAACATGACTTGTCTATGCATATGAGGCAAGTACTTTTTTTAATGCTACAATCTGCACAATCGTCTGCTTGGGAAGTAGGCTTTACTGCCACAGTTGGAAACTTTAAAATGTTGAACACTATTAAAGGACCTTTGCTCTAGTCCTTCTCTGATGACTCATCATGGAATGGAGGTGAATTGGGTTTTCAAAAGCAATGATGGCAAAATACAAGTTCTCACAGTTTCTACCAAGAACTGAGTAGGCCACAATTTTTTTTTCAGTTTAGTAAATGTCCTTTTCTGTCTGTGACCTTTGACTGGAAAGTCACAACATCCCAGTAAGTCCCTAAAACTTTAGAGGTGAATTATCAAGCTGCGTTAGTGAAAGGTTTTTTTTCATACTGAATCTCTGAGTCTCACAACAAAAACACCAAAATAATACATTAATGAAATTTTAAAAAAAATTGTATGCCCTACAGAACACAAATTAAGGAATTAAGGGGTTCTCAGTAACTCATGAAAACAAGCACTAGGAGGGGCCAGCTGGGAATTGACCTTGATAGCTCCCTGGCTCCCTATATTTCCCAAGGCACTCTTACTTTGGAATTAAGATTTCCTGAATTCCATTCCTAAACTGCCTCTTCTATATACTCATGCCCTTGCAACACTGTTATAATTGAATTGCATTCAATATTCAATCTTTTCCCAATGGAACAGATATGTCTAAGGATCCCTGATTTTACTGAGTTTCAGACTTTTTTTTTTTTTGCCAAGTGATGTTTCCTCTCTAGT